GAAGCCTCTTGGATGAGGGGCGAAACGTTTCTTTTTAACAAAAAAAACGAAGTCCAGATGACATGATTCAACCTTTTTTGTTGTTATATACCTGGATGACTGAGAAAACAAACTTTGTGTTAAACCCCAGATTGTTTTGTCTTATGGTGACTATTGATTACTTACATTTCTTTTGGCAACATTCCCCTTTAAACAATTTATAATATACTCTGTTATTCACAGTTTGTTTGAATAAACTCTGCAAATCTGATATGAAATGAAAAGGAAATAAAAATAACAGATGTGGCTGAATTAAAGAATGTCAAAGATGTGGTTCTAACATTATATAGTGATTTCTTTTTCTTTTTTAAACAAAATGCACAACCTGAAATGTCTGAAATGCAAACACTCGTACTGAAACTAGGTCTGTGCATAATTACAGACATTAGCTCCGGGGACAGAAAAACCAGTTGAGCTACAGTAGATGTTGCGGAGATGATAAAACCGGCAACAATGCACATTAAATCTGAGCATAAAGAGTTCTTCTCTCAGACTGTGATGCTCAGCCTAAAGTAGGGCTCATTTAGTCGCACACGTCTCAGTCGTCCACCGAACACACAGATTCTCCTCTGAACTCAGCTCGGTTTGCAGTTTGTCTAGTTGTGCTTGGCACGAACCCCTTTTAAATAGTTCTTCCAGCGCTTGACCACATCCCTGAAGATGGGGGAGTTGTCTATGGATGCTATCAGCTGCAGCTGGTTAATGTGCGTGGTGTGATAGTCCCAGCGAGCCAGGTTGGGTGCAGTGCCCAGCATGAAGTGACGCAGGTCGTAAATGCTCCCAGACCCGGTGTCAAAGAGAGGCAGCATGGCCTTCAGGGACTCCAAGCCGTGGCTGAACAGCTGCCCCGCCTCTCGGCCCAGAATCTCCCCGGCTGTCTCAGCCACGTCGTAGAGTCCCAGCAGGGAGTAAATGAAGCCGTTGAGGACGAACGAACTTGGCGTGGTGGGGTACTCTTCATACCAGTCGTACTTGTTCATGAACACTGCTTTGACCCCGTGCTGCGCTGACAGCACCTTGTACGGTCCAACTGCCTTGAGGGCAGCGTTGAGGTAAGCCTGGTTCTTGGTGACGAGATAGGCTCTCACCAGGGTGGACATGGCCTGGCCCTGAGCCATGGCCGAGTACCAGCCAGGCTCCAGAGGCCGGAAGCCCTCACCAAGTTTACGGGTGACCATGATGGGCCATCCGCCCCGTTCGTCCTGGTTTCGCAGCAGCCAGTCACTAGCGGCGAAGAAGGCGGCCATGTGGGCCGTGGTGGAGATGGTTATGTTGTCGGTGAAGCCACGCCCGTGTAGAACTAACCGCACCACCCGTCTAGGCATGATCTACGAAGAAATACACCCACAATCACTTTTCTTTAATGATTTTGAGCAAAAATATTTAGACATCAAATGAAGATTAAAAACATCACAATCTTAAAAAAAAAAAAAAATTTAAATGTTTAACTGAATTATAACGTGTAAAACAATAATTATAACACTATTCAAATTAACTGGTATGTTAATTTGGATAGTGAATGAATACAGTACTTCACGGTTTGACTTTTGCAGACTCGCTCCTTCGCGGTTTTTCAAAGAAAGATTGGACATGACACAATTGGCTGATTGAAGGATGAGCCAAACCAGCGGCATGGATTGTTTATTTAAAATAAATTATTTTAAATGATTTAACACCTGCTAAATCATTAGGTGAAGGGAGAAACTCCCTTTCATGATCTCTGCTCTCTGCCACCCACACATTTCTCCTCCGTGCTGAAGCAGCTTCTTGAAGGGTTAACCCTTCGCTGTCCAGCTGCACCGATTGATTTCGTCATCCAATTTAAAATTCAAAGTACGTCACATCGTAAAATCGTCATAATCACAAAATAGAAAAGTGTTAAATGTTGTAATTACCGTAATTATTTTAGAACTATGTTCAGTTGTTACAGTGTAATTGATCAAGAGGTGCATTTCTGCTCTGTGATGCTGCGTGAAGGGTTAACCCTTTGCTGTCCTGCTGCACTTCTCTTCTCCACAATGTAAAATATTACAGTTTTTAAATTTAAATTGTTTATTTAGAGAGAAGGAGGGAGATTGGGAGTGAAACTGGTGATGAGTGTGATTGCAGCGTGGCAGAGGGCAGAGATCATGACATGCTGTGCTCTTGTTGAGAACATTGCAAGAGTGTGGGCAGGATTTATAAAAACTTAATATATAAATAGATACTAAAATAAACAACTTACTACTACTACAGTAAATACTAAAATAAACAGCTACTTACTACTATTTGTGTACATACTTTCATTCCATCTCACACACGAGATGTAATGAAAGTTTACTTGAACTACTGTATCCCTACTTCGTGGTTTTCCACTTATGGGGGGCATGGTCCCCTAAACCCCACAATAAACGAGGGACTACTGTAATCTACTGGTTTCCAGCTCGATCCAGATATTACAACTTGACCCAGCTTTGACTGACACCAACCTTTGTGGCTTTGACAGCCTTGGTGTTTGACAGTCCCACGCCCTTCCTTAGGTCCGTCAGCAGGTCTCGGGTCAATGTGCTCCAGGAGGTTCGAGGCCCAATACCATAAGTGACGTCATGGTCTTTGAAGGCGATGAGCTGCGTGTTGGTCACGTAGTGGATGGTGAAGGGCGGGCCCTTCTCTGTGGTTTCCAGGACCACAGACAAGCTGCCGTTGGAGGTGAACTTGATGTCTAAGCTGAGGATGAAGTCTCTTGAGTTGCCCAACTGGAGCGATACACCTTCTGAAGAGTCTGTGTGAGATGGCAGGGAATGGATGAGTGGTTGTAACAGATAAATAGGGTGAAATATGTTAATTTGACAAAAAAATATACAGCCGTTCTAATTACAGCGTATTGGGTGGAAACCTCATTTGACTCGAGAGAATTTCATGATTACTGGATGACATTTATTTTAGTAGACTCACTCAAAGGCTTTTAATCACCATATGTATCTTTATAAACTCTCCTTTAGTGATGACTTTTTATGACAGCTTGTCTTTCTTAAATGCTTCAAAAGATGTTAACAGTCTCAAATGATCAATATATTTAGATAACTTAAAAATAATTTATGGTCAAAGCCCCTCAATTTTTTCTAGCAGGGCCATTGTATTCTTTATTTTCTGTGTTAAATGCCCCACTGTGCGCCACAGATAAAAGACTTGCACATAGCGCACACCCACACACAGACAAGCTTCTCATGGGATGTACTCTACAGATGTGTCACTGCACACTGAGCTTAATTAGAAGGAAGGGAGAAAACGGGCTGTGAAGCATCAGGAGGGACCAAAGGAAGTAAAAGAGTGCAGTGTAGCTACGTTTCCATCTGAGCTTTGTGTGGTGGAAATGTTGACATGCAAAGTTAGAAACTTCAGTCTTCATGCTGCCTCTGCTCCTCTAATGCTGCTCTGTCCGAGTTGCTTTAATGTCGGTTAGTTCAGGCCGTTAAGTTGCTGCTGACATCGCCTGGGGCCCTTGAAGTACAAACTTCTTTAGGAGTCAGCTCTCCCTTGGCTTGGTAACTTGGTCTTCAAGGCAATGTGAAAAAAAGACACGTTTTTCTAATCAGGGCTCCCCAAAGGATAAAAGATGAAAGCATATAGAAGTCATGGAAAAGAAAGGTAATAGAATGATGCACTGCACAAATGCTCCTAAAGCCAGCCTAAGACTGGAGGGTGAAAATGAGGCAACCGTGAGCAGACGATTGGGAATCAGAAGACAGAGAGATCTCACATGACACGAGCTGAGAGCAGGAGCAGATGAGTCCGACTGAGAGACAAAGACAGTCGATCAGGGGGAGAATGAAGACAGAGACAGTCTGGCAGGGGCCTCTGGATGACTACAGCTCTTTAATGCACTCATAAATCCATTACTTAAGGCAAAGCAGAGAGTAAGTGGATTTGTACTCTGGCCCTGTGATTACCCTGCCATCAATAACGAATGGGCAGGGAATACAGACGAGATCCCACCTCCACCGCTCCGCTCTCTGGCTGCTTAGCAATCAGTCTGGAAACAAAGATGAGATGATGCTGGAAAGCCGTCAGCGCGCCACATACCACGCTTGTATACATCAGTGAGCATGAGAGATGAGCTTAAAAACATGCACGGTGGGTACCTGCTGTGCACGTGGACACACAAAACAAGCTGCAAATGACAAGGCGACAAGCATATGTGATTATTTATCACCTGTCTGCCTCATCAACACTCACACAGGGAAATTTATATTCTTCACAAAGTATTTCTCCATGAGACATTCACTGTTCTTAGGCTGCAAACAATGGTTTTAGTTATGAGCCTGTTATTTGTTTACATTATTGTCTCAAATGTAATTAGAGAAATTGCATTTCCTGTGAAAAAGCAGTGTGAATGCTTATTGTTGAAGAACTTGCTGAAAAACATCTGAAATTAGCTAAAAACATGCTGAAATGTTGCTGAAATGGAACAAGCCTAAGTTAGCAGAAGAAAGCAGAAAGAACACGTTTACCTAATTAGGATTAACGAAGCAGACATGAACTCCAAAAAAGTAGAAATTAACTGAAAAACGCAGATATTTGAAAAAAAAAAAAAAAAAAAAAAAACTGCTGAAAAGTAGCTAAAAAAGTAGAAAGAAGCTTAAATTACCAGAAGGAAGTAGAGAGAACATTTTTGCTGAATTGGGCTGACAAAAGTTGAAAGGAATGCAATAAATGTGGAATTAGCTGAAAAAGCTCAAATTAACATAAAAACAGCTGAACAGTAGCTGGAATAACTTAAACTTGCATAAATAAGCTAAAAGCAGCACAAAAATCTGAAATTAGCATAAAGAAGTTCATTAGGCTGAAAGTAGCAGAAATTACCACAAAAACTTGAATTTATCAGAAAAAAGCTGTAATTAGCTAAGAAAGAAAAAAAAGCTAAAAAGGTAGCTGAAAATGTAGACCAAGCTTAAATTTGTAAAAGAAAGCAGAAAGAACATGTTTGTCCAATTAGGCAGAAATGAGCACAAAAAAGTGGAAAATTTAGAAAAAATCTGAAACGTAACTAAAAATAAGTAAAGAAGCCTAAATTACCAGAAGTGGAGAGAGCACATTTCTGCTGAATTAGGCTGAAAAAAGTTGAAAATAGTGCAAAAAATGAGGAATTATCTGAAAAAGCTAAAGAGCACAAACAGCTAAAAGTAGATTAAATAGCAGAAAATGCTGAAACTTGCATAAATGCGCTGAAATTAGCATAACGAGCTGAAATTAGCAAGAATTCAGAAGAAGCACAAAAATGTTGTAGTTAGCAGAAAGAATCTGAAAGGAGCACAAAAAAGATGAAAAAACTGCTGAAAGTAGCTGAAAATAAGTTTAAATTGCACAAAGAAGCTAAATGAAGCTGAACCAGAACAAAATGTGAAAGGTGCAGTAAAAGGTTGTGAACAGATAGAAACATTTGAAAAATATTTTATTAGTGGCTGATAACTCTTAAAATTATTTTAAGGGAACAACAAAGTCCATGCTCAATAATCCAGGTATACAATCCAACATTTTTCAGTCAGGTCATCTGGACAGTTTCTTTTTTTGTGCTGAAACGTTTCACCTTCGATCCAGAAGGCTTCATCAGTCAAGGAAACACAACAAAACTGATTCTTCCCCCAACAGCTTACTCTAAAGTGGAACAAACCAGGGAATTTTAAGGGAAGTTTTTCTGATTTTATTTAGATGAATGCAAATTTTCATTCAACACCAGCGTCTTCCCCTCGACATAAAAGCACAAGTATTAAAATTATTATGAAATCAGACTCAATTTCTATTATTTATGGTCTGGATTTTCCCTCTCAGTGGTAAACACCAATAATATTCATTGGTAGTGGCAGAGCCCTCTGCTCCTGTGCTGGATTCAGATTGCCTAATGATGCACGAGGGAGTCACTGCATGTAACCCAGTATTACTGCTTCAGATGGCATCTTCACTGTAAATGCTTCACTTTCCTTCAGCGCTGGCAGAGATGTATAAAGTTACTGCCGTGCAACACTCCTGCTGTCTCACCTACAAACACACAACAAGCGACACACAACGTGTCCTTTATTATAAAGTACGGGACATTTGATGCAGTTGTCACTGTGCCTGGTAAAGTCAGCAACTGTTCATCAAAAACACAAATAAAACAAGAGTATTGTAATTTTTAGAGTCTATGGTAAAGAGCATCTTGACACAGAAAATGGCAGTGCAGAGGCTACACGTCCATCTCCTCAGCAAGCTAATAAAAGCCGTACTTACACAGCATGAACTCAAAGTGTTGCTAATATTTATTGACTTATATAACACTTTGACATCTACTGTGGTTCTGTTAAAGAGAAACCTGAAATATAAACACCATTTCTGTTCATCGCAGTCAAAATAACCATAACGTTACTACTTTACAAAAAGGCAACTCTTAAAATTGATTTATAAATAAATATAAAACTAGCTATTAAATGGGCGCTTTATATCATAAAAATATTCATACATAGCAGGAAAAAAGGACAACAATGAGTTGTTTCTCGTTACCTGTATTCTTCAATCCTACTTTTTACTTAAAATGTTTTCATCTGCTACATTTATCATATAAAACATTTGTCAGGAGTAAACCAAACAAGGAGAAAATATGCAATATGAACAAAAACCAAACATTTATCGATATAAATGGTAAATGGGCTGTACTTATATAGCACCTTTCTATCTTATCAAGATATTCAAAGCTCTTTACACAACAATCAGTGTCCTCATTTACCCGTTCATACAGCACTCTACTAGATCTATACAAAGAATAATCAGAGCTTTATCACATTCATACACCGATGGGACACAGCAGAGGCAATGGAGGGTTCAGTGTCTTGCACAGGGACACTTGAGCATGTGACTGCTGATGGAATCGAACCCACAACTCTTGCACTGGAGGACGACTGCTCTAACCGCTCAGCCACAGCCGCCCCAGATATTAAAAAGTGCATTGCTTTACCTGTCCAAATACTGAAACTGCAAGAATATGAAACATGTCTTAAGATGCTTTTATGCATTGATTACTAATTTATAAGTTGTGTACAGCTCAGATAATAATTTAATTATAGAGCCTGTATAAATCCTTTATAAGGGTGGTCTTACTGTGGTACTGCCACAACAAACTGACATAGGTTCAGTGCAGTTAGACAATAAATCATCTAAAACCTCTGACAGCTCTTACTTTGCAGTCTTCCTCTAAATTTCATCCGTTGTTTCTAAAGCCGTATTTATTAAAGAACAGAAAACGCTGCTTGGTGCAGCACTGAACACTCCATATCCGTGAGGCTGAACAAAATTAGCTCACTTTAGCTGAAAAGCCTACGTTTTCAGCAGCAGATTGCTGTTCTTAATGAATCACGCTGTGGTTTTGTAACAAAGCTGGAAGCTGCAGCTGCTTGCTGGTGCTGTATTTAGCCAAAAGCAGATTTTTCACATTTGAAGCAGAAGTAAGTGGTGAAAAGGCACCACGGACACAACGTGCCACATACAGAAGACAAGGTAAGATCGTTCCCTGCGATTGTGCAGACACCTCATCATGGCGAGTACAAAAAGTAGCTCTGTAGTATCAAGAACAAGAGGATTTAGAAAATAAAGGTGCTCAGTGGCAGACAGTGTCCGTGCAGGAATGTGTGGATGGGAGGTTATTATCAGGGGACAGACAATTGATCCACTTGTCAGAGACTTTGAGAGATTGCCCTAGATACAGCGAGAAGGGGAAAAAGACTCAAACTGGAAGGAGAACGGAGGGACAAA